TTGGAAACATCTTGAAGCTTTCTGGCAGTGTACCATAGCAGGCCATTATTCTATTGGAAAATGAATGCTAATATATAGCTAAGGATTACAATGAGAAACAAAGGATGGGAATGAAGTATTTGTTTCTGATTGAATAGGTGAAATGTATGACAGGCAGCAAGCTTCCACAAGTGTACAAACTTTGTTTTAATTTTAGAATAGGTTTGTTTTAAATGCTGATCACAATTTTGGGCTGAGTATATAGTTGGCAACCAGCTGTCTTCATTAAATGATGAGCTTGCAGTGTTCTTCTGTATAATTTGGATCCCATCGGATTATAATAACAGGAACATTAAAACTGCCACAGGGCATCAATCCAGTGAAGAACAATGAGAGTGCCATAGGTTCCCGCCCCCTAAACTGTTACTATTTTCAAAAGATTAATAAACATCTTCCACAAATTCTTTGGAAATGGGTCTGTGGAAATCATTCTCAAGTATTTTGTTCTTATGGTTCATGCACAGAAGCAAGGAGATATTTTCTCAGTTCCTCTTGGACCTCTGCTCCTCAGTTGTGTAGCCTTTATTCATCTCCTGGACAGCTCGACTGGCTCAGACAAAAGAGGCATTTTCTCAGCCCTCTTCTTTCAGCTTGGCTGCTGCTACGAGTTAAAAGTATGTGATGGCCACAACAAGCAGAACAGAAAGAAGCAGTTTTCAGGCTAGACCAGCTAAGTCTTTGGGAGGATTCACTTTCTATTTCTCTCCATTTGGAGAACTGTCCATTTACTTTGCTTTCTTTGCTTCCTGCAACTTAACCAATTCCTGATCCACAAGAGAATTTCTCCTCTTATTCCTTGACGGCCAAGCTTAGTCAGGAGTTTCTGGTTAGGTTCTTTGTCAAAAGCGTTTGAAAGTCCAAGAACTGGACCACTGCTATCTGTCTGCTTGTTGACACTCTCAAAGAACTCTTAATAGGTTTGTCCTTGCAGAAGCCATGCTGACTCTGCTGCAGTGAGCCTTCTTCTTCTATAAGACTGGTTATTTTACCTTTAACAATACTTTCCACCAGTTTTCCAGGGACAGCATTTTTGGTTGTTGGCAGCGAGTTTGTAATTTCTTCCAAATTCTCTGAGGACTTATCTCCCCCAATTAAATTCTAAATTATTTGAGAACAATGGACAATCAGCATACCAAGTAATGAGCTAAGGAAAACAATGACCGAAGAGTCTGTTTGGCCACCTATTAGTGCTTCGTATAGGCTTGCCACTCTTTTTGTGGGGGGGGGGCAATTAAGAGGGCATTGCTGTATGCCTGGGTGATGTATTACAATGAGTGATGTCATTTCCTAGTGCTGTGTCAAAAGTTCAAAACTGAACTTTTTACCATATATGTAGAGCATGGGTAGGCAACCTAAGGCCCAGGGGCTGGATCCAGCCCAATCGCCTTCTAAATCCAGCCCGTGTATGGTCTAGGAATCAGCGTGTTTTTACATGAGCAGAATGTGCCCTTTTATTTAAAATGCATCTCTGGGTTATTTGTGGGGCATAGGAATTTGTTCATCCCCCCCCCAAAATGTATAGTCCGGCCTCCCACAAGGTCTGAGGGACAGTGGACCGAACCCCTGCTGAAAAAGTTTGCTGACCCATGATGTAGAGGAAGGGAACAGAAGGCAGGTGGTGACAGCCACTATTTTCTGTGGGCTGGCAAAACATTTCCAATTTCAGTGTTGAAGGACTTCATTTGTAATGAACAGCAGAGGCTTCTCTTCATCCTCTTATTGCAACTGTTTTTGCCACCATAAGGAAGCTTATCGGCTTCCCATAGGTATCTGGTGGGCCATGGTGAGAGCAGAATGCCTCTGGCCCAATGCAGCAAGATCTTCTGGTGTCCTGAAGATCTGCTGCAGAATTGCTAGCTTTTGGAGGAGTTCATGGCTATCTCTGGCAGTCTCCTACAAAGAATGATGTGCATACAATACTATATCATCCCTCTTGTGAAGCATGCTCCTTTCAGCTTAAATGAATATTTATGCTTAATATGCTTAATATGATATGCACTGCTACATTTTAAATATAAGGGTGACAGTTTTCATAAATTAAACCAACCCCAGAGTAGCAGCTGATCTGGGACAGCTGCTTAAAGAAAACAGATCAAGAAAGATTGCATAGCCTAGGTTGGAGAAAAGCAAGGACAACATCCTATTTTCATAAGTCTGAATATCCCAAGTAACAGGGAGATGTGTGTGCAGAGCAAAGTACATTTACCTCTCAAAACACAATGCAATACACCGGTAGTGTTTTGACTGCTGTACAAATTGAGCACACAAGGAATGCCAAAATCAGATATGTTTGGTCTCTATACTTATTTGATTAGTTGCATGACTGCCATGAGAAAGTTGTTGACACAAATAGCTAAAATGAATACAGTAAAAGGCATTCTGCCTCCATTCACGTTGTTAGCGGATCCCACTTTCAGAGGACTGAGACAGGATCAAGCTCTGCTCACAGCACTCTATCAGTGTCATGTACATTGATGATGCTGGAATACACACCATCTCTGAAAGTACAAAAATAAGACCAGATTTTGAGTATATCTGAACACAACGAATACAGCGCATTCTAATTTCTGTCACCAGGAACCCTCTAACTTTCTTTTGGGAATCTTTGAAATCAGGTAGGCTCCTAGATTTGCTTTAAACACAGAGCAGCACTAGAGAGAGAGAGAGAACCGTTTCAACTGTGCTGAGAAGCAAGTACTACAGCTACAACCACCACCACCACCACATAGAGGCACAAGCAAAAAGCAACCACAAGACTGCAAAAAATGTTTTGTGGTGTTTTTTTAAGGTCTGATGAGGGGAGGGGAATGAATAACGCATTGTGCACTAATTTGAAAGCATGTCCACCTGTGTGTACAGACAACAGGGATAGTAGCTGCTGTTTTAGATTATATTGTTGTGTGAAATTGAGTACGATTGCAAACTGCCATGTACAAAATAACGCTGCAAAAAAATTATCCCAGTGTATTTCCAAGACTATGTATTTCCAGTCTAGATACTCCTCTTCCTACCAGCAACTGCCTGAATCCTGTGTTCCCACAATACTACACAAAGGCACCAGTATTCCATTTTCTCATGTGTGAATATAGTAGCTGCAAGGAAAGAGCGCCATTTTAACTTGTTCATAAAATATTTCAAGTTTGGGGTGAGAAATGAGGTAGCCAGGTTTGCTGATGATACCCAGTTGATCAGGGTGGTTAAAACAAAAAGAGATTGTTAAGAACTCTAAAGGGATCTTTTCAAACAGAATGAAGGGGCAGTAAAATGGTAACTGCACTTCATTATAAACAAGAATAAAGTGATGCATGTCAGGGCAAAACAAAATCTCAATTTCATAAATACGTTCACAGAGTCTGAAATGGCCAGGAATGACACCTTGTGGCCACAGCGGAAAGCACAGTGAAAATGCTGACCCAGCATGTGGCAGCTGAGAAAATGCCTAGTTCCATTTCTGGGATCATTAGGAAAATACAAATGCTAACCGTAGGCTTGTTAATAGAAACCTATGGGCAGTGTTCGAAACTCCCATTGTTCTAGGCGCATTTTGCGACAGGGAATTTCTTCAGCATGAACAGTTTCTGAGCTCTGGGTGCAGTCCTGCGCCTAAGATTTCAGATTAAAACTATAGAGTGGAAGGAAAGGAGGACCTTTTTCTGCCTCCAGCTACTCTCTGAAGACTGGAGAAGAAACCTTCAGCTATTAGGGGGGTGGGCAGGGGTAGGACTAGACCGTGTGAAAAATGAACATAATACTTTATCTGCAGTTCATTCATTTTCAGCTTTGTATTTTTGTTACAAAAATTGTGCCTAGACATTCCGTTGTTGTGCCCATAACCTAGGTTTAAGGTGCCATTTAGCTCCTAGTGTTCATTTATCAGTTTCTAGCATTGCCTATGTGGAGACCAGACTTGGAATACGGTGCAAAATTCTGGCTACCTCTCCACAAGGATATTGTAGATATTGTAGCCTATGGGATACAAACCTACCTCATTCACATCTGAAAATAAGGATAAAGATCTAGAAAACCCACTCTTCTGATTAGAATCAACATTTTGTTTAGTTACTTCTTGTGATCAATTAGTTTAAATAATACAAAAGAAAACTCACCCAAATCAATTTCACTTTATCAAAAATATCATGCTTGCTATTTAGGTGGAATGAATGGCACCACACTGCAGTCTCTTGCAAATATTAGGGCAGGGTTTGTAACGTCCCTTTGTTTACATTCTTGCAAACATTTGGCATTTATGGCCCATTTACTCCAAAGGAAGCGTCACTCGTTTCAGTGGGTGGCAGTCAAGAGCAGAGCTAATGGACTTAACTTGGGCAGGGGTCATTAGGACTGCTGGCTTTGGTCTCAATCCTGCCCACACTCACTTTGGAGTGTTGGGGAATTTGCTTCTGTGTAAACATGCACATGATAATACTGTCAAGGAGTAAATCCTACCGAACTCAGAACAACTATCTTCCACATCTACCTTTATAGGAACAGAAAGTTGATTTCTTCTCCCAATTACATTATTCTCCCTCTGTGTAAATGGGGGGGGGCAGGAATGCCAGACAGGATGCTGCGCACATTTCCCCTTTTAAAAAGCCTCCTTCCAAGTCATTCTGTTTCCCTTTTTTGGCCCATCTCCCCAGGCCTGCATCAAAGTCTGTTCAGCAACTCTTCATTTTCTCTGCTGACTTGACTAGTTTTCAATAACAATTTCTCCTTCGTTTTGTAACTTGGATCAATAAAACACATCTCTCATGTTGGCCGAGGTTATAAACACAGTCATTTTACCCTTTTCCTTTGTTTGGAGACCCCCCCCCTTTGTAAGTGGATGGAGCAATTTAACAGGCTAAAAAAGTTGAAGGTAAATAAATAAATTAAACACTGCATCTTTGTAGCTCAGGACACATTCTACAATCCTGTCATTAAGCCATGCTAATCCTATTATTATGAAGATAAATAATTACCCATTGCGAAGAAAGGAATTCCCAACAGAGTCGAATTATATTTTCCATCAGTAATGAAAAATATCCCTGCCGCAGTGACACTGGAGATACAGATCGTGAGCGCTCCCAAGAGGCCAAGGAAGGGCTTGCTGCGCAGGCAGTCTTTCATGGAACTTGAGAGGATGGCAGCCAGCAGAATCAGCATTAAGCTCACCAAAATCTTGCCTCTGGCCAGGATGCTGGTCTTGTGAAAGTCCCTCCACAGGCTGAAGGAGGCGAGAGCATACAGCTGCAGCTCCTCCTGGTGCAGCTGCAGTTTGTGTATCAGTTTGCAAAATTCATTCTCCCATTTTTCACCAATGAGGTCCTGTACTGCAGAATGGTAGGTTTGGAGGTAGTAAGTGATTTGGATGGCTCTGGCCGACTTGACCCTTTGGTCCTTGCTGCCTGGCAATTCCATGACCCCACCAAGCTGATGGCCGATGAAACTGCTTCTTCCATCCTGAAGAAGAAAGTATTTTAAAAAGCAAAAGAAGTGGTAAGTGAACCAACCCAACAGTAATTTGCAATTTACTCATGCCATAAATTCTGTTAAAAGTCCCATTGTTATGAGAGTTCAAAGTATCTTCTGTTTTAAACTTAGAATAATATGAGGTTGTCTGAGGGCTGTTAAACCATTTTCTTCCTTGGTTCGCTTGCTTAGAGGTAGGAGCCTCTCAGAGAGGACAGGAAGTGCAGCTGCGGCCACTTGTGCACATAGCAGGGAGGCGAAAATAAAGAAGAAAATGGCTAAAGAGCCCTTGGGCCACTTTGTATTATTGCAAGTTTACTGAGAAGCCCCACCACCGACTCTCACACATGCAAACAATGCAGGCACATAACATAAATTAACACATAATCTGAATTATTGCTTGGATTATTGGATTAATTGGATTGAAATAAGAGCTTGCCATACATTCAAGAACTGTAAGCATACTAGATTTGACTTACAAACTGCTCAATGTCAAGTTTCAGAAGCATCACTAGAAGTTGGTTAGAATGCTGCACTTTCCTCCCATTAACCCAAACCATAGAACTATCCACCTTAGAAAAGCCCAACAGTTGTAAATGTGTTTAGTCTTACAGTCTTTCTAGTTTCCCCAAACACGTAGGCAATTTGATTAAAGTTTGAAGCCTGTGGTGCAGCCACAACCATAGAGGGAGCCAGCCTCCTATGAGGTCTGCAAAGCCCACCAAGAAACACTTGTGTCTATATATGCCCCCATTTAAAGAAGCTTTCATGGGGGGGGGGCCACCGGAGGATAAAGAGAAACTGTGGCACTTCCCTGCTCTGACATCTTTGTGCTGATCTGATACATTTGCACAATGTGTCCTTCTCCTGATCATCCTTTTGCGGTGTAATCCTGTACATGGATATTTAAAAATAAATCCCACTGAGTTCAACTGCGCTTATTACCAGGTAAGTGCATATAGGATTGCAGCCTCGGTGGCTTAATGTGGCAGAAATGGGTCAGGCTTCCAAAGCAGGAAGGGAGGAGCTGCACACTAGAAAACCCTGTTGACCCAGGACAGGGAATGAAGTTTAGGAACAACGTCTCTTTCATTTTCTTCTTGCATGTAAATTATTCTCTGCCGTTGCTACAACTGGCGGCCGACGGAGCTGCTATTCTCTGCTGCATTTTATCATAATAAGTTGAAGTTGAAATAAATAAGTGTCCACTTTGCAATTCTGTGATTCAGTTAACAGACTGAAAGAGTATTTATTCAAAATTCAAATATTTAAGACCTAAAATAGAATATGGATATTTATTTTTCATGAATATTTTCTCCCAAATGTTGCCTGTAAAAACTTAACACCATGAAATTTAGCCATTTCTGAATGAAATGATTTTCATTTTCTAATCAATTGTATTTCCCCCATCACTCTGAATACAGCAATGCATACCTGAAATTTTTAGTTTCCTTTCCCATTTGATGTCTCATTTGTTTTTCATTCTTACATTCATTACAGCACATTCCATCAAAATGGTATGAAACTTGAATTGTTCCCCACCAGTGACAGCAGACATACTGGACGAGGGGTCCATTTTATTAACAATTTAAAAAGGAGTAACATCCTGAAAGCTTCCCACTGCTTTACTCTTCAGATCTGACAGTTTTCACTTTTTAATGAATTTCAGAGTATTCAGAGAAGCCCTCTTTCTTTTAGAACATTCCTCAAATGTGACAGTTTGCTAAGCAAAGCACTGCAATGAGGGTAAGCAGTGGATTCGGACAAACTGCAATCTGAAGGGGGCTGCTTGGGGCAGATTTGAGGCCTGTTTGAGCCAAAGCAGAATCCCTCTTCAGCACCCAAAACCAAAGGAGGGGCTCCTAAGTGATTTGGGCATTTGAAAACCATGCAGAAAGTGTGTCTGCAAAAACTGAAACATTTGTCCCCCAAACTTGTCATATAAACAAGGAAGAAAGGCCGGGGGGAGGGAGAGCTCTTTTGAGCTTCTAAGCAAGGCATGGCCAAACTTGGCCCTCTAGCTGTTTTGGGACTACAACTCCCATGATCCCTAGCTAGCAGGACCAGTGGTCAGGGATAATGGGAATTGTAGTCCCAAAATGGCTGGAGGGCCAAGTTTGGCCACGCCTGCCTAAGCAGAGGAAATGGGTATGATCTCTGACCAGATCTATTAAAATAATCAACACTGGCTATCATCCTTTGTTTTTACTTTTTAATTGGGATTCAGATTTTAACTTGAAGCAAATCAGGTAGCTTCCAAAATGTTTCAGGCCAAATCATGTTGAATTTTGAGAGAGTGCTGCGGGTGCCAGTCACAAAATGGCTGCCATGGGGGCAGGTCCTTAAAACCATGGGTGTCAAGCAGGGGCAAGACACAAAATTAGAGAGAGTAAAATCAGGGTGAAGCTTTCCCCATAATGTATTTCCATACTATAGAAGGTTTAACTTGTTTGATTTCTGTCTGCCATACAGCTCTTAAAGGCACAAACCCTGGTTTCCCCCAATGCCGACTCTGAACCTGAGTCCAGGTTGCCACATCAAGCACACTTTTAATATTTAGCAGACATTGTACTGTAAGTTAACTATACAGTGAATTTTTAGTGAGCACTTGGCCCTTAACTGCTGCACAGCTGGAGACTTACTTTAGCTTTGTTGCAAAATGTTCACATTTGGCTTTTGGGGAGAGGAGGAATCTTTAACATACACTTACATTTACTGAGTAGAAGAAGTTGCAGGAAATAACTTCTAGGGAGTACCTGATCTTAGACAAACCCACCCTGGGGGAAATGCAGCTTGGTTGCTAAGGGAAATGATGGAAGGACAAACTACAGAGATGCCTAAAATAATTGTGATTTTTAAAACCTAGGGAGATGCTGATTCAGCTTATTCTGTAAGTTTGATACGCCAAGTTATTTACAAGCCTCTTGGCAGAATTATTGCATAGAAGGGCTGCCAAATATACTCATGGGAGGGATGTCAAAATTAAGCATATTGAGGCTCCTATATGCAAAACATTGAATCTGATGTACTATGTAATAATAATGATAATAATAATTCCGTATCTTACTCTTTCATTAAATGTCTCAAAAACAATAAAGCCAGTTTTAAACAATATCAGACTCTTCCAGTCTGGAGTGGGGCACCAAACACTGTTGTTCCTTATCTCCTCTTCTACAAGCCTCCTCCACAGAACCTTTGGCCCATATAATAGATAATAACCCAATCAAAGGTATTTCTTTTCATGGTCAATAATATAAGTGTGGTCTTTTTGCAGACAATACAATCTTTTCCCTATCAATGTCTGAACACTCACTACCTGAGACAGTTACATTGACTAATGAATATGGGATTATTGCAAGACTGGATATTAACTACAGAAAGTCTGAACAATTATGTTTTGCACTTTCAGAAGCAGAACAAAAACTAATAAAGCACTGGACAGCTGCCAGTAATAAACAAAATAATAAGATACAGTACCTGGGAGTAAGCATATTTAAAAATCTGAATAAACTTTTTAGAACTTAATTCTGTCCCACCTATGAAGAAAATTAAGAATTATCTAGAAAATTGTAAAAATATATAATTGACATGTCTGAGCAGAATAGCAGTATAAACTCTTATTTTATTAATTGGGGGGAATATAGATTAAATGCAAAAATAATGTACCAATTTGTTTTATATAATCAGGGTTGCTAAAATGCTTAATAACATTGCAGTTGATGTTATATCATTCCTTGTACAGCACCTGATCCTTTCTGTTGGTGTGTTATGAACTTCTACCAAAAGAGATCCTACCCACCATAGAACAAACCACAGTTTGCAGCCAGCATAAATCTAATTAAATTGCCATCTCCATCACTCCCTTGAAACCAAAGCCAAGTGAAATGCAAATGTGGATTCATTTTCAAGCAGATGCAACTAAGCTTTTAACCCTCTAACATTGCAAAATGGAGATTTTAAATTAGACCAAAGTGTGTGTTGCTGTAGTTTTCTCTCCTGCTTTTCTTTACAATTCAAAGGCTTACAAAACAAAAATATTGGGGGGGGGGGTAGCAAAGAAAAAGGCAACAGCATCCAGAACAAATAATGAGCCTAAAACCAGAGGTTTCAAAAATCAAAATAAAGTTATGAGTAAATGGGTTTGTATTGCCCATAAATGGGTTTATATTGCCTTGAACCTTGCTAGAGCAGTAGGTTACAAAGAGACTCCGTTTTTCTACAAAGCCATTATCAGGCTGTCTGTCTTCTGGGGTTCTCACCATATTTGCAAGCTGTACCAGACAAACTGCAGTTTTTCTGGCTCCGTTAGGGAACAGACTGTGGAAATATCCAGTCTGACACTAATTGCCCATTTAGGGTTGTGACTTCTAGTGGGCACCAGTTTCCCAGGCTCTCAAGAGAGAAGTGTTTGTGGCACCTGCCACTCGATCATTTTGGCTGCAGGTGCCAGGGACGGGACGTGGGACGTTCTGCATGAAAAGCATGTGTTGAAATATTCCACTCACAGGCTATGGAAAGTCCTCGGAGTTTTTTAAATGCTGGGGTCCCTCCCAGATCACACTCCTTCAAGCAGCTCCAGACATTGTAACTGATGGAGTAGATACAAGCTTGGCGGATCATAGTGTATGTTGATTTCAGTCAGGCTTTTGACAAAGTTCCCCACAATATTCTTGCGAGAAAACTGATAAAATGTGGGTTAAACAAGGTAACTGTTAGGTAGATTTGTAGCTGGTTGACTGAACCCAAAGGGTGATCACTATAAAAAGTGACCAGTGGGGTGCTGCAGGGTTCTGTCATGTTGTTTAATGGCTTCATAAACAACTTGGATGAAGAAATTGAGGGGATGCTCATCCAATTTGCTGATGACACCAAACTGGGAGGGATAGCTAATGCCGCAGAAGACAGAATCAGGAATCAATATGGACCTTAACAGACTGAAGAACTGGGCACAAGCTAACAAAATGAATTTCAATAGGGATAAATGTAAGGTT